CTTTCCCATCATCAACTTCAGCTCCAGGCTGCTGCGGTAGACTGTATTTATGAAGTTCAGCTTTTGTCAACTGAGGCACAAACTAAAGCTCTGCATATTTGTTTAGGTCTCCAATGCGTGACATCATTGAACAAAATGAATGCTCTGCTAGTGTTTTGTAAGACGTAACTGCTGTCCTCTAGAACACTACAAGGGCAGAGAAAATGTAGCCAAGATGATCTCAGCACGTTAGGAATGTAAACGTGTTATTCTATGGACAGTGCTTGCTCTGTAGGAAGGAAGTGCTCAGTAAAAGCCGTGTTGTTTAACATACATATTGGAGGAGACAGAGGAAGGGGAAAATATTGCAATATTGCCCCCATCCTCTTGCAGCCCATGAAATAAATAGCCGTGCTTAAAAAACATAGTCTTGTTCGGTTTTGTAACTCTTGGGCAAACAGAATTTGGCCCTGCAACTCCTTTTCTATGATTATTTTCTTTCCCAGACTCTTCAGGCATTTTTATTTGCTTTTCAATGCCATAAAGTACTGACTATATGCTGTAAATAATGACATCAAGTAAACATGTCTGTAATGGTTTAAAGAGTTCAATCTATCCATGGAACAGTTATGGTATAAAACAACTGCATTGAGAGAAATAGCTCTAGCTCTAGCTCAAATGAAAAACGGTCCTTTGGCTTAGAAAGCAAATGTAGGCAATGCTATACAGTGTGATATTTAATTTCTCACATGCCCATTTCTCAGCCTGAGCTCCCGCTTGGACACGTGCTAAGTCATGGAGTGACTTCTCCGGCCCTCTCAGCTCCGGCACTCCGAGGGACCTCGGTGCACTCGCTGATGAGGGGCCTTCATTCTTCAAAGCCATTATACATGCTGGATACACTTTAAGAAACACTTAGGCATCAAGTGCCTTGCACTGACCTCCTCTGAGACTTTGCTGACTTAATTAATCGGGGAAAGCCTTTGCAAAATAAATAGAGATAAGCTTTGGCAAACCTCCAGACCTGGAGCGGGATGAATAGCTAACCTTGCGCTCGTTATTGCTCCAATCTGCCCGGCTGCCCGGCTCTATCTGCATGAGCTCGCTGCAGGGGACCACTAATGCTCGATCCTGAGGTGGGATTCAGATTTGCTGCCTCATTTAGGGGCAAGTCTAACGAAGGCTCCTGCAGAAAATTAAGGGGACTCGGCTCTCCCAGAGGATAGGTCAAAGCACCTAACTCGGGTTCTGACCTCAGGCGCTGCCGAGGGAGGAGCTCGCTAACCTCAGCAGCGCCCGAGTCAGGCCCTGTGACAGCACTTAGCACGGGTCCAGCTTAGTCCTACCAGGGAGGCTTTTCAGAAGCTCGTAGGCTGCATCAGCAGCGTCTCCATGAGCTCTCAGGGGGTGTCACCAACCCTGGTGATAAGTAAGCAAGTTTTAGAGGAGTTTGATGGTGTTCCCAGCACAAATACAGACTATTCCAACTACACGTCTGGTTTCTGTGCATGGCCACGTCTTCATGAGGAACTGAAATGACATAAATACAACGGGGCAGAAGCAGCTTCGCTTCCACATGTGTAATTCAGGTGAACCAAAGGAGAGTGTGTGCGCGCTCAAGACTACTGGGTGCCTTAAAAGCATGGGAAATGGGGAGAACTGGCAGGGCACAGTTAAGCCAGGCATCTGGCCTGCGACACGCTCAGCGCCGCTTTCCAACCAAGCTCTTGCGGATCCAACTGACGGGAAACCAGTCCCCAAAGCAAACGTCTCATACTGTGGCATTTATTGGATACGACCCTTAGAGCAGTCGCAGCCTGACGGGCAGCATGTAACTCTCGTCTGACCCTGTGCCGCTGCACGCGAGATGCTCTGTGCGCCAGGCAGGGCTGGAGAGTCGCCTGCCCCATGCAGTCGGCAGCAAAATACCGCTTCTGTTTTGTGTCAGCCACGAAGCGACACGCAGCCCAGCCAGAGCTCTCACCCCTGCCAGGTTTGACTGAATTGGCTAAATGTTCCTTTGCTCAGCATCAACCTGTTTGTTCCCGTGGTAATTCTCTCCCCTCGCAATGCCTTGGGTAATGTGTCCTTACCTCTGGAAAATTGGTCATGTTCACTATAATGAGCTGTGGTGACTTCTGTGAGATCTGCCCCAGCTGGTTCAGTGGAAACTTCCCGTCTTTTGTCACCACGATTATGTGATCAAGGGCCCCTCAAAAGAACAAACACAGCAGAGATTGAGTATGATACAGCAGTTCACAGCAATGCTGAAGAAAAACACGTATGCAGTGTCCCACTTCCCTTCTGGTATGCAAAATATAGATGTTACAAAAGAAAAAAATCATGTTTATTCAGACTTCAGGTGCTGTTTGTGTTCATGCATCCCCTGTGGTATTTGCAAGCTAAATATTTCAATGCTACTCTAAAGCACAAAAACATGAAAACAAAACTCGTTTGTTTTTGTTATTAGAATAGATAAACTAAGCAAGATTGTTAAAAATTAAAAGGAAGTAATTATTTTTTAATTCTTAGAACTTAAAGAAAATCAAAATGTTGTTACAAAAATCACGACAACTATTGTCTTTAACTTAGCAGTGTTCTCTCAAACCCCTCATTTTTTTTTCCAAGTCCCAAGAGGAGGTGCTGTACACTGCCTAATTTAAAGTATTCAGTTTCTCCCTAAGCTACTCTTAATCTGCTCTCTAGTTTCTGCTGCAAAATGTTAACAGGCCAAAAGACACATGGGACAAGAGGTACTTTATCAGTGCAATTTAAAAAAAACCGTATGGTTAAAATAAATAGTTAAGAGACAGAGCTATGCTTTCCAACTCCGCTAAAGACTGAAGTGCCCTTGCCAGAGCTGGGGTGGTGAATGATTCAAATTTGGTCATTGTTTAATGTTAAATTTTATCCCTGAAACTTGATACTACTTACAAATACGTATGTTCAGAGTCTTATAGTAACTGTAGCTTAGTCAAATATATTCACATTTCTTCCTGAAACACAAAATTCACTAAGTGAACAGGGCTTGTAAAGGTCACTAACCACAAAGACGCACAGCAAAAGAAGTTTGTATATGCCAGACACCAGCCTGGTGGCAATTTCCAAAAGGCTAATTTAATGGCAATTGGATTTTTCCTGCCCTACTGCACCATTAGCTGACAACCTGCTTCTTCATCACATCTGCAAACAGTTCAGTTAGACGCTTTTGACATCTCCCACTTACAAAAGCTATTTCCAGGAAGCTATTAACAAAAATGGATTCTTCCTGGTCAAGCTCAGGGTGAAGAAAGCCTTTAGCTGGGGATGTCAAGGTTGTAGTAATTGGGTGCCCAGCGAATAACTCAATAAAAAGAAAATCAATTTTGAAAAAATCAGAGTTCTCTGTTACTGGGGCTGGTATCCTTATTTACAGGCAATAGAGCATCATACAAGAAAGTTACCAACCTGGTGAGGTTCTAACACTGAGATTTCTGCTGAAATCTTCTTTCAGAGCTTCTACCACGGCCTGCATGTCTTCATTGGTTTCCTCCAAGTTGATAATATCCTCAACTAGGGCAGCACTGATATTCACTCTGGCTTGAGTCTGCCCTTTACCTTTAGCTGCAGATTACGCATAAAATTAATTTCTGTTTCTGACAACAGTTAGTTGTTGCATTAGAAAGTAGAAAGAAGACATTAAAACCACTGTTAGATTCAGAATTGAGTCTAAGATAAACCAAAGTGACTGTATATTTTAATGAGCAAATAGCCCAGCACTTGAGCACATAAGCCAAAACATATCTGTAGGTCACGCTGTGTGCACTGACTCCAGCCTGGGCTGTGACGGTTGCTACCCACCGCCCCAGCGCAGCAGCAGCTCCATGCGGTATCTCTCCCGCGGGAAGCGCTAAGGTTTCCTGTTCACTGCAAATCAGTTCCTCCAGAGCTGTGTTCTGCCTAAGTTAGATCAATGCTGGTTCACGAGATAAAAGGGATAAGAAAAGAAATTCTGGCAACATACTGAGGGGTTGCAAACACTAAGAAAAAGGCTGCCGCCGTTACCTTTTTTGGTAGCTAGCTGTCTGGTCAGCATCATCTGCTGGGCACCCTGCGAGGAGCGGGGCGGGGAGGCTTCCAGGAGCCTGCGGCAGCCCCCGTATCATTGCGAACGACGAACGACAAAGCAGGGAAGGCAGATGACGGAAGCGCCTTAGTGCCATAGCCATCGTTTACAGCTCTTCTCTAACTCACCTGGAAAAGAGAAAAGGGAGGTGGTCCATTCGGCGTGCTAAAAAGCAACAGATTCAGGTCTTAGCTGCACCTCTCGGTGCAAGGTGACAGTTCAGCAGTGTGGGCAGTGGGTCTGGGCGTACTGCTGTGACCAAGAGGTAAATTCAGTGGAAGGGGCTCGGTGGCGGCCCCGGACCCACGTTATCTGCGCAGCCTTTGCACATCCATCCAGCGGGGCACGGACCTGTGACACAAAAGCCACGTCTGCTAAGCAGCAGCAGCTCGTCAAAGCCTCTGGTATTTGCGCGTCAGCTGAGTAGAAACTTTAATTTCTGTCACACGAGGCTTGAGGCCCCAAACCCCCCCGAATTCACAGGATTTATTTCAGCCTGGGCAGCTGGGGGCTCTGAGGCTGTTCTTGCAGCTGCAGCTCTGCTGTGCTCAGAGGGAAAAGAGGGTCCCCCCCGGACAGGGCGC